TCATCATTTTCATCATAATAATTGATCTTCATCTCTTCGAATGCGTTCATTCCATCCATTTCAATGGCCAACCAGAGAAAGTGTTAAAATCAACTATTGTGGGCAGAATTTGTTCATACATCTGTGTTCTTAAAGTGTTATTACCAGTGCCTATTTAGATAAATGTGCTCTTCATGACACTTCATGTCAGATTCTAGTTTGTGGCAATAAACCTGCAAGGTTAAAGTTAATGTGAGATTGATTTCAATACTAGGAAAAGTAAAGATCTTTTCCAAATATAAGTGCTTTAAAAATCAGGAAACACTAGGAAAAGTAAAGATCTTTTCCAAATATAAGTGCTTTAAAAATCAGGAAACATGGTACATTTATGTTTATGGTTCACTAAGGAGGACCTGCTAATGATGATTTACTTTGCAAACCAGACCCAACTTTCCCTCACAGTAGTAACTGGATCATAAAATATGCTGCTATGTTCCTAGAAGGATGTTGGCGATAACCTGATAACTTAAAAACACAACTAACTCGGAGCTAAAACAAACTTAAACAATGTATTGCACCAAAACAGAAAATGTGAAGCTGAAGATATGGCTTGGATTCATGGCTCTTACCTGTACTTCAAAAGCCAAGAAATCGGTCTTTTTTAGTGCTAGAAGCACAGAAGTCAATCTTAGACGAGCCCCAAACACCTCATGAAGCTGCTGCATTCCATTTTGCATGGCACTTGCAGTCCTCTATGAGCCAGCCATCCAGTATGGCACAAGGTTCTCAATCTTTTCTGCTGATTGTAACGTCCTGTTTGAAATCGTCCATTGTGAATCCAGTTTTTGCATGCATCACAGGCAGAATAATTTTGGATATACTGCAACCTGGCGAAGAAGCATCACAACTCAAGGAACATCCGAAGTTCCTTTATGCATAAAAACTCCTCTGGTGCATTTCCTTTAAAATATCTTTAGTCATTAAAGCTCTTTCAGCAACATGATTCCAGAAAAGGCTTAAGGTGTTGCCATCACCAGCATAAGAAGCATCGAAACTTCTATAGACTTTGAGATTTATCATCAATTTCCGCAGAGCCATATCATCTAACAAACTAAAAGCAGCATTAACTTCCCCCATTTTCCAATAAGCATATGCCAAGCTGGTATATATTACACTATCTCCACATACACCCTTTGCTTGCATATGCTCAAATGTCTTTTGGGCAAAATCAGCCTTTTCTCTTTTACAAAACCTCCTTATGAGTGCCCTGTAGACTGAGACATCAAGGCAAAGACCTTTTTTCTCAAACTCATCAGGAAGTTTCATGACTGCCTCTTCATTTTGCCTATTACAGTAACCATCTATAAGCCAGGAGTAGGTGCAATAACCGGGAGAAAACCCTGCATCAATCATGCCAAACAAGAGCTCCTTGGCACTATCAACTTCCTCCACTTTGCAGAAACCATGGATCAATGCCTTGTATGTGAACTGGTCTAACTTCAGTCCAGACTCCAACATCTTGTTCTTCACCTTCAATGCAGACCTCATATCTCCAATTTTGCAATAAGCATTAATCAATGTGTTACATGTGACATTATCAGGTTCGACATTCTTTTCACTCATCTCGATCAAGAGCCTATTAGCTTCCCGGATTCTACCTTCTTCGCAGAACTTACGGAGAATCGAATTATATGTAACTACCCCAGGAGATAACCCTCTAGCCTCCATCACCTCACGCAACCTTAATGCTTCTTCAAGGTCATTGACTCTGCAATAGCCATCAATCAAAGTAGTGTATGTCACATGGTTGGGGATAGTACCCTTAATATCCCTAAAAAACCTAAGTGCTTCTCGCATTCTGCCCTCTCTGCAAAACCCATATATAAGAGCATTGTAAGTTACAATATCAGGACTAACCCCACTTCTTTCCATCCTTTCTTGAATTGACAAAGCCTCGTAATGCATACCCTTTTTGCAATACAATGCAATTAGCGTATTGTATGTAAAAAGATCAAGAAAAACGCCCTTCATTTCCATCTCGCTTAACAATTTTTCCACCTTCTCCGCATCACCAGACTTGTAACCAGCATGAACCAAGACATTGTAGACATGAATATTTGCGACAACCCCTAACTGAACCATCTTCTTGTAAATCTTCCAGACCATGTGAGTCAACCTCTCTTTCGCTAAAGAATTCAAGAGCACAGTACAAGCATGCAAGTGAGGCTTGAAACCGTGCCTCCGCATTTGCTCAAACACCTGAATGGCATCCTGGGTCATCCGCGAATTCGCAAAATATATCACAAGCCAACTCAAGATATGAGCACTCACATCTGGTTCATCACCACAAGAACTCACCAAAGCATTCAGAACTAACGGAGAGGACAAGAAATCTGTGTGCGCAATTTTCTCGAGCAGGTTTTGTGCAGTCTTGAAGTGCTTGTGTTTAGCAAGAATGCTAACCATTGTCCATGAAGTTTGCAGAGAGTGCTTGTAATTTGACACTGAATCAACCCATTTAAAGAACGTCCAAGAAAGTGAAGGGCCATGGCCGCGGAGGGAGAGGTGTATAAGTACCTGGTTTATGATTGTCGACGTAATATTTGTCCCGATCTTGGGTCTCAAGATATTGTTCCAGTTACCCTTTAGCACAATCGCACAAATACCTTGAACGAATTGAGTTTCACTACTGGAAACAATCTTTATCATTTCTTTGGTTCTTAGAAGAACCCAAGGAAAAAGATACGTTGCAGGCGTTTTCCTTAACAATAGAGATTCTATAAATACTAATATGTATGTGTGTATATATATATATATTGAATAATATTTTATTCAATAATCTAAAAATAAAAAAAAAAAGTTGTAATTATTTTATTGAATATAAAGATAAATTTTGATTTTTGATTGACGATAATTTATTTTAATGATTTATATAATATTTATTTATTTAAATTATCTAAATATAAATAAAATTTTATTTTTGATTAATTATGAAATATACACTATATAATTAATTTATAAAATTATAACTAACTAATGCTTAAGACAACACAAATATCTAGCTATATATATATATTAAAATTAACAATGTAATTAATCAAAATTAGATAGTTATTTCATTATAATGACATATAGTTAATTATATAGTAAAATTAATATAATTTAGTAACCATTTAAATTTAATTAACCATATTTTAATTAAAATTAAAAATATCTACCCCATTTATTTGAACGAGTTATTATTATTCTACAACCTACTCCTACCAATGATAAAGATTTACTCACCTAAAACCAAAAGGCTGATTTTACCATCCATAAAAATGTTATTATAATAATAAAAAGTTACCACAATTATTTGGTCAAACTTTGACTTCCCCATTCAACAATTCCACACTCCTTTTTTTTAAAAAAAAAAAAAAAAGAAGAGAAAAGAAAAGAAAAGTAACACCTAATCTACCAAAAAAATGACATTCTCAATTGGGCTCTTTTGTAATTTAATTTTTTAAAAAAAAAAAAAAGAAAAACCCAATATTGCATATTGTACAAAAATATTTTTTCCTTAAATATTATATTCAAAAAATTATAATTTAAATTAAAAAATATTATTATTATTATTTTAATTAAAACAAATAAATAATATAATACTCAACCGTGTATTATATAGTCAACATTGTCGCTTTGGGAAAAATCTAAAAATAAAATATAAAAATAATATTTTCTCCAGCTTTTTTTCCAAAACAAAATAACGTTTTTCGAAAAATTAATATAATATTAAATTAGTACTGGGGCACCGGGAAGAAATCCAAAATTCAAAGAAGTTGGATCAAACAAAATGACGTCGTGCCTTTTTCCACCGCGTCATCAGACGGCAGAGAGACAAACACCGAACACCCAATGATATTACTCCTCACCGCATGGGATCACTACCCCCCCCCCCCCCCCCCCCTTAATATAAATAATAATATTTTTAATTTAAAAAATAATTTACGTTAAAAAATTTTTTGAAAAAAAAAAAAAAAAGAAATTTAAACATGTGTTGAGAATGTCCATCACAAGTGTGGAAGCACATTCCTTAGGTGGGACCCACAGCGTCCGACAGTGATGATGATTATTAACCCAAACGGTAAATTTGAAAAAGTTAAGGGGTTAAAATGAAAATAAAGAAAAAATTTTTTAAGTCAAGTAGAGAGAAGCAAAAGAGAAAACAAAAAGGCAGCAGTGGTGGCATCTTGGAATTGTGCCAAACAGATTACATTGCATTAATCACTGATTAAGTAGATAATTAATTCCCAGATTTTTGTTTTAAACTCCAAACAACTGTTTTTTATTTCATTAATTTTTTAAGTTTACTTCTTTCTTTCTTTACCTTCTCTTCTTTCTTCCCGCACCAACATCAGTTTTCTTCGATTTGTTGATCTGCTTTGGGTCTCTCGATCTTTCTCTTTAATATCCACTCGATATTATAGAGAGAGAGAGAAAATGGTGAGTGAAAAGCTGAGAGAGTGATTAGGTTGCGGTGGAATTTTGTGATGAGAGGGAGATAAGAGATGGCGACAAGTATTTAAGCTTTTTTCTTGGTTTCTTTGTTTATTTTTCTTTTTGGGGGGTCTGGTTTGATTTGATTGGATTTGATATGGGTGGGTGTTTTCCTTGTTTTGGATCATCGGACAAGGAGGGTAGTAGTAGTGGTGGTGCTGTGAAAGAATTGTCGAAGAAAGATTCATCTAAAGACTGTTCAGTTGCTCAGTCTCACCATGTAAGCAGAGTTAGTTCAGGTAAAAGAGTCTTTGCTTTCTCAATTTTAGTCAAACAGTCTTTCTTCTTTCTTTTTTCTTTTCTTTTCCCCCATTTTTGTTCAGTTTTCAATATCGCTGGTTTTTCTTGAATTTTGTGTTTTGTGCGTTTCTTTTGTGTGGTTTGACGGCGGCTTGCTGCTAGAATTCGTTTTCACTTTGATCTGCTTCATCGGTGCTTGCTTCTGTTTTCTCGGTCGTTTCCCGTATTGGGTTTTGTAAGCTTGAAATATTACTAGTTTCTTGATGAATTTCTTGGTTTGTCAATTTTGATTCTTTTTTCTTTTATTTGGTTATTATCACTTTAAAGATCTACTCTTACTTTTAATACGCTCAATTATCTTGTTTTCATTAAATTATTTTCTTCTTTTCATTCATAATTGACATCGTAAACAGAAAAAAAAAAAATGTAGTAATTGCACCCTGATCGAGAATTCGGAACCATTTTACAAGTATAGAAAGCAACAGAAAGGAAATGAGCAGAGAAGCTTTGACTAAAATGTATTTTACTTATGCAGAAAATGTAAAATATATATTAGGGTTTGAGAGATGTAATCAGCATAAATTAAAGTGTTGGGTAGCCAAGGACGAACCCTATTTACTAACCCCTCCCCATCCTCGGTAGAAAATTCAATGAGTGATTGGTGGGTTTGTAATTGAATGCGGAGTGATTGGTGTAGTTTTATGATTTTATTTTGGGGCTGTTTTAAGTCAATTATTCATGTAAAAATGCAAAGGTTTCTGGTCTAATTGTTTACCTGCTTCCATGGAACTACGAGGCTATATTCCCAAGAATTTTTCCTACATACATGTAACATTTTGTGGCCTGAAGTTTATCTTCCGTTTGGCTTTAATTCTTACATACGAATGACATTCTTGGCATCTTCTTTGATTCTTCAAGTCATATATTATTCTCTAATATGTTTAGACAAATCAAAATCTCGGAGTGGTTCTGATCATAAGAAGGAACCAGTGGTTCCAAAGGATGGGACAACAGCACATATTGCTGCACAAACATTTACATTTAGAGAACTGGCGGCTGCCACCAAGAACTTTAGGCCAGAATGTCTCCTGGGAGAAGGGGGTTTTGGACGTGTTTACAAAGGTCGCTTGGAAAGCACAGGACAGGTACTTCCTTTGTTATTTCAAATTGATGCCACTGAGACTCCATTTTTCAAACATGTTTTATGGTCTATTTGGTTCAAGTCTATCCTATTCATAAGTTGTAGTTATTTAATTTATAGAATTTATTTATAATTTGCACATCTAATGCATATCAAAACCGACGTCACTTATATGTTAAATTTCCCAGTGATTAATTTATATTTACTTATAAAGGAGTGATCATGGAAGTACCTGATTTGAATTGAGTGTGGAATTTTCTTAGAATTAGTATATTTTAATTACAATATTTATCCTCTTTGCATTATATTTATCTTCCTATAATTTAATTTCACAATGATGAATTTATTTTCTTTCTTTCCAGGGGAGGGGTCATGAAAACCCTTTACTTAAATTGATATTGAAATTTCTTTTGAGTTAAGAATATTTTAATTGAAATAGTTATCTCATTTGTATTGTGTTTGCATTCTTGTTCAATAGTATTAACGTTTGAACCAAACCCTGCCCTAGTATATTGTTAGCTTGTTTATGGTATTACTTGTCTTGCATTTAAATTGTAGCCACGCAATAGTTTAAAAATAATTGATACCGCTTTTATATTTTTGTTTAATAGAATTAATGTTTGAACCAAACCCAACATTTCACATTTTATGTTTCTTTCTCTTTTAAGTACCTACTATAATGTTTTAATATCAAAGCATGTCAATGACTAATATTTTAAACTGTTCTTCTACAATGAAATGGTTATTTTGCAGGTAGTTGCTGTGAAACAGCTTGACCGTAATGGCCTTCAAGGAAATAGAGAATTTCTGGTAGAAGTTCTGATGCTTAGCCTCTTGCACCATCCAAACCTCGTTAATTTGATTGGTTATTGTGCTGATGGAGACCAACGCCTCCTTGTTTATGAGTTTATGCCATTGGGATCATTAGAAGATCATCTACATGGTAAGTTTCCCATCCTTCTTATGCCTGTTGTTGATGTTTCTCAAATCTCATCAACTTAGATCGTATCAGCCTTTATGCACATAATGATGATGGGTGTTATCCTTGCTTGTCAAGGTCTACTATGTTGCTTTTTCGTGAAAATCATGCAATTTTGCCATGTTTGTTAGAGGTTCTTTTGGTAGCAATTTTCATTCATTACAACATGAAGAAACTCAGAGTTTAATTGTTCTCTGTGTGTACTAGTGGAAACATCTGCTCCTTCATTATTGGAATCTTTGCTAGGGCGCATGTAGATGAGTATGTAGAATGGATTGTACAACTTTTCAATTGAGTGAACGCGATGGATATTCTCTACTGAATGATTGCTTATGTTCAGTGACTCGAGCAACAAAATTGTAATAATTAAAGGAGTTCTATATCTGTTGGAATGGCAACTGTGCATTATGGTCTTTTAGTTGGTGATGAAGAGTCCTTTCCTCAAGTGGTACGATGCTGACAAAATTTTAGTAACTTAGAGTAATGCAATTGGGTTCGGATATGTTCCTCCAAGAGATTGTTGTCAGGTGAGTGGTGACCCTTATAAGATTTATGTTCATCTAAGCCAGCTCATAAAAGAACAGGCTAAATCTCCAAATATCCATTAGATGCCACTGGGTCATCCTTTTATGCATTCTGCCTTAAAGTGTGTCCCCCTAACTTAGTTTTTTTGGTTAATCTGCAACAATGTTATGGTTGTTAGTTCATGTTGCATCATAAGGTTGGAGGAGAAATAAGTGTTTTATCTTGAGATTCTTTAATAATGAGTGTTCGAATATATATATGTATAGCTACACAGCTAGGTTGGATTGTTCCATGTGCAACGTGTGGAGGAGGGAGTAAAAGAAGTGGAAATCAAAAGATTTCTGTAACCATAACATTTTGGAGGGACAAAAGGAAAGATTCAGGAGATGTCATCTATGTGCATTGAGAACAGAAAAGGGAAGAAAGGAAGTTAATTTTGTCCGTAATTTATGCAAGACATTGCAATCTATATTTTAATTGAATTTTCTGTAGGAAAATGAAATGAAGTGTATTCCACGAGATGAGGTGTCAACCAGCCACAGATGATATAAGAACCAGAATCTTTGGTCCTGTGGCCATTAGATTTCTGGAATAACCAATTAATGTCTGTCATTGTCTGGCAATATATGCATTTTGGCTTATTTAGTTTGATGTAGAACATAATGGAGCATTTGATACATGCAAATGGAAATATTATCATCATAATTCACTTGAAAATTAGAGTTTTGATGTCCCATTCAGTATACCCTAGATGGTTCTGTAAAAATATGAAGCAAAGAAATGAATCAACATCTCGTTAAATCATCATAACTCACTTTTAAGTTTGTTGTGGTCCTCACTTACTATCTTATAAAAAGTTCTCAATTTTTTGCTGGCTATATCATAGATCAACAATAAGAATAGGCTGTATGCCAAATATTAAGATCACTACTTAGGATCTTGTTATGGGATTTTGATTGATCAAATAAGGTAACAAATTTACATCAATTTTGATGAGTTCCGAAATATATTCTTTCACTCAGAATTTGTTTAGGATTCAAATTTTATCTTTTATATTTGGATTAAGTAAAATCTCCTAAATAATTTTACAAGAATAGTTTGTTGGCTCTAAACATGCCCTTAAGAAACTTGATAGAAAGTTTAGGCTCCATTTGGTACATAAGAACTTTTTCTAGTTTCCTTTTTTATAAATTCATTTGTGGTTTATGCATATTTTTATTTGTGGAAGCATGTAAGAGTTGCTCATTTATGAAACTAGAGTATGAACAAAATAGTTTTCCAAAAAACACTAAAGCAGCATTTTAGAAAATTTTCTAATTTTAGCATAATTTTCAATATTGTTCTTTTTATTGTTAATTAACTTGTATGTTGTTGAGAATGGAATACAATTTTTTTTTTAATAAATTGAGGATGAGTTTAGAAAATGAAAACTGGAAAATGTTTTCATGCACAAAATGGAGCTCAAACTCTTGTGTACATCTAAGAAAGTTTGAGCACTTGAGGAATTAGAACTCCCTTTCACTCCTGAAACATGATAGCTAATGATTGTTAAGTGTTCGTATGTGGTTGATGGGTTAATAAGCTGGTTCAGAAACTTGGCCCTAATGCTTCCTCTACTGTGAAATCTTTCTATATCACGCCTGACTCATTTCCTTTCAGCCCGTAGTGACTTCCCTTGGGAGCATATTAGGCAAATGTAATTTGTATACTCATCTTTTTTTGCTTGAGAGACAGTGACAAGGAGGATTTTCTCCATTGACAATTTTCATAAAAGAGGAGAGCTTCTAGGAAAATGGTTGCTATCTGTACAAGAGTGTGGCCGAGGCCCTGATCATCTTTCTTTGCAGTATCCTTTCTCCTTTGGCCTTTGCACATTGTCTTTGAGTTCTTCAGTTTGAGCTAGGTGATGGCAAGTTACGTGGTTGATGAGATTTGGCCTTAGCAAGGCCATATTGAAGAAAATAGGAGCGCTTTTATGGGCACTGTTTTCCTCTTTAGTTATGGTTAGGAATTTACAGCAGCCCCGATTTCCTTTAAGGGTCATATTCTCTTTCCTTCCTGAGGACTTATGGAGGGAAGAGGGGGCTTAATAGATATTTTAACAGATTTATAAAGTATTTTCACACTGGTGAAATCCCAAGGTGCCTTGTTTACATATGTTTTTTTTCCCCCTTAAAAAGTGGTCATGTTTGGCCTTTTCTACTTATGTCCTTATTTTTTTTAATAAAGCATCTGAACTTGACACATTACTCTTGCTTTGTCTTTTCCCAAGGTCAGCTACTAAGAAAATGGATGTGTCTCAGTTGCTCAGTAAAAACAGAGTTCTTTGACAATGTCTAGTGTTTGATTGGAATTTTGAACATTTGCTTATTCTCTGACAACTGCTAAGATGAGAAATAATTTTAACTAGTAATTATCACGACTTCAAATTGTTTACATCTTGATAAATTAGATTTCATACTTTTTTCTCATGGGTTTTTAAGAGTTTCTGTAATATTTTAACTTGCAGTCAGCATTAGCTGTATATTCTTTATCAAATTTTGTAGCTCACTTTCCATATCAACTCAATCTTGCTGTTTCTCTGTGACTGTTTTCAGATCTTCCACAAGACAAGGACCCGCTGGATTGGAATACAAGGATGAAGATTGCAGCTGGTGCTGCCAAGGGGTTAGAATACCTGCATGACAAAGCAAATCCTCCTGTAATATACAGGGACCTAAAGTCATCCAACATTCTCCTTGATGAAGGCTATCACCCAAAATTATCAGATTTTGGGCTTGCAAAACTCGGTCCTGTTGGTGATAAAACCCATGTCTCAACACGTGTTATGGGTACATATGGTTATTGTGCTCCGGAATATGCAATGACTGGTCAGCTTACTCTAAAGTCAGATGTCTATAGTTTTGGTGTTGTATTTCTTGAACTTATCACCGGGCGGAAGGCAATTGATAATACACGTGGTCCTGGAGAGCACAATCTTGTTGCATGGGTAAGTTTCTCCATTTTGCATTGGGAAGTTCCTTAATTTTGATTTTAAAAAAAATCTTAAAGTTTCCATTCAATTTAATTGTAGCAGTAATTAATAATATAAATTAAACACTTGAACATAAAGTTGGTATATAACAATAGCTATCTGATGGGAATACCTTCTGTCTTTCTTTTTGTAGGCACGGCCACTATTCAAGGATAGAAGGAAATTTCCAAAAATGGCTGACCCACTACTTCAAGGTCGCTATCCAATGCGTGGACTATATCAAGCTCTTGCTGTTGCAGCCATGTGTTTGCAGGAGCAAGCAGCTACAAGGCCTTTGATAGGAGATGTTGTAACTGCTCTCACATATTTAGCCTCTCAAACCTATGATCCCAACGCATCCAGTGCTCAAAATAATAGAGTTGGCCCATCTACACCCAGGAGTAAGGATGACCGGAGGAATATGGCAGATGGGCTGGACAGCCCAGATGAACGTGGGCGACATGGTTCTCCTTCAACTCATAAAAATTCACCTGACTACAGGAGAAGGGATACTGTTAGGGAGTTGAGCACTGCTTCAGACTTAGTTTGCAGTGAAACTGGTGGAGTGTCAGGGAGAAAGTGGGATTTGGATGATTTAGAGAGACAGGAATTTCAGACAGACAGCCCTGTAAATACTGGGAGGGAAGGGAGATTCCACGGAATCGTGACCTAGATAGAGAACGTGCTGTTGCAGAGGCAAAGGTATGGGGTGAGAATTGGAGAGAAAAGAAACGAGCGCACGCTGTTGGTAGCTTTGATGGTACAAATGAATGATTGTGAGAGAAAATGACAGATTTTGGAGAAGAAATGTAATTTTATTCTGAGGGTGAGGTTGAAGAAAGAGAAAAAAAAAAAGTTGAAGAAACACCATCCTTTCCTTTAATGTCTTGGTTTGAAACTTGAACCCAAGGAATAAGGGTTTTCTTGCATGTATCCACCACTGACTGTTATTGGTTGCCCAATGTCATTCCTGTAGTGGAGGTTTGTAAGTGAATGCTTCAATTATGTGGTTGAAGGAAAGAGAGTAAAAGAAAGGATGAGGGGATGAGGACTGTTTGGTTTCAGGTAAAAAATCTCCCTCTTGAGAAATGATGTATGGAACATCTTGATCTTATGATGTATGTAGGGCTTTTACAGGAATCTGGGGAGATGTCTAAATTTTTGCCCCATATATGTTGTCTGTACATGGGGAGACCTGAGTGACTTTGGTGTGGCTCTCTCTCCTCTCTCTCTCTCTCTCTCTCTCTCTCTCTCTCTCTCTCTCTCATTGTCATTACATCATGTACTCTCATACCATCTTGTTGGATTTCTGAGTCAGGTCATGTTTTCGGCTTATACAGAAAAGGGTTTCATGATAGTTCTCCATGTATATTCATAACAACTTGTATACCCTCTCTCGCAATTTCATTGAATTGGTTGTTGCAGAAGATCAAATTACATATACAAGGTAATGGTAGGAGACTTATCTTTTAGATGTGTTATTGGGTTGTTTTCAACTAACTAAATGCTAATGGGAAGAGACATCCAGGTATGTGCAACTTTTTCATAATGCAAATTGACCTCGGAACATCACAAGAGAGATTATATATGGGTGATATCATAAGGGCCAAACGCTACAGATTGGTCTTTATGCTCAATTTATTATTTAAGTTTTGACTTATATTATTAACTTGAGGGTTGGAGAATTCTCTTGGATCTGTGGATCCAACTTATGCTGCAACGATAGTAACTCCCTGTCTATGGGGTGTTCGAAATTATCAATGTTAAACATTTGACAAACTTTTCTTTTAAGAACATAAAGGACTAGAGTGGTTTTGAATTATATAAACCATAAATATTATATTCCTATTTTTTTTTATTTTCATTCTGTGCGTGAGAGATCATTGCAAGTATGATGTGAACTTGTGAATATATACAGCATTTGACACTAAACTTTTGAATTGTTTCTGTAACTTGCAAGTTCTTCAATTTCTTTCCCCTCTAAAATTGTTGACCTCAAAACCTTGAAATTAAAAGAAACATTATTAGCCTGCAAAGCAACTCAACTAACACAGAATATTATTTTGCTCTAAAAGGTTATGGTTCAATGAGACGAAGCTCAAAAAGTACTGTATTTAATGTAATTTATCAATAAAAACAAATTTTGTAATTTAAAATTAAGCATAGTTCATGATTTGATAATATTGTATAGATCATTTTTTAGCACAATTGTGGTCTATACCATATGAGATCATGACTCTCTTTGTCTTCAATACGAGGGAAATTATTGATTCGTACAATTAGTCATCACGCTTAGTTAAAAAAATAATGACGCGAAATTACTGTATATAGAATTATGACTAAAAAATTTTAAATTAAAATAAGAGTTAAACACGATGTATCCGTCCGCCACCCGATTGTCAATCTTCAATAGAAGTTTTTCATCTTTTAAAAAACATGTATCGTTGACTAAGTTTGTCCGGTAGAAGTGTCCTGTTGACAATCTTGAAATACAATTACCGTTAGTTCAAGGCACTCCTCGATTCCTTATTGAATATCTTGTGCTTAATAGGATAAGCACAACGTGCTGATGAAAGTTAAATGCTCAATTAATGCAACTATTTTGTGTTCAATGCGTTCAGCGTGCTCGCTACTTATTTCATGAGCCACAGTACCCTCAGTTCCTTCTCGAATTTCTTGTGCTTGTACTGACGGAAGTTGGATACTCAATCGAGGCAACATTGACCAAAATACTGATGAGCCACATAAGGGAAAGCTGATTACGGTTAGCGAGAATCCTAAGTTACACGTATTTCAGGGAGATAGTCCAAGTCCAAGACTGAGTTCATTAGGCAGATGGGTTCGAGATACAACATGATTTTCGAAAGGTCTTTGATTGAATTTTGGAAGTGGAAGTGACAGGAAAGTTGAGCGAAGGTCAGATGATATTCAAGTTTAGTGATAGGAATTTGATGATTCGACAGCTGACGAATGGGAAACAGATTATGAGGCCCGGATTGCAGCTGTTAAGGAGAGGAAGAAGCAGAGGTGGTAAATGGATTATAAAGCATACATATCCTTTCATATACATGTATATATATATATGGGCACTCAGCAGTTCTGCAGTGCATACATATTCTTCCAGATACTAGAATAAATTTTTACTTCCCAATATTTTTTTAATTTTTTTTATTACTGACAACTGGTACTATCTTTTTCTATCACACAAGACATTACATTAGATTTATACAAACAGGATTTCTCTAGCTGGTGTTTGTCTCGCGATTTTTCAATCCAATGTTGATGGTTACCTCTTTTTCATCTTGGCACATGGTCTTGCAAGTGACTGGCTACTGAACACTGGAAACTATGTAGATAAATCATTTGGGGTATGCTACAAAAGAATCAAGTAAGTAAATTGGCATTAGTAGAGATTTGTGAAGTTAATTTATACACCTACTATCGAAAACATCTACTACAATTTTCTACTGCCGGTACCATGGGCTTCTTGCACCCTCAAAAAATCGAAATGAAAAATCTCCAAGGGCATAGCTCCATCATGCAAACTCCTGCTCATATTGTCGGCATCCCCACACTGTAATATTTCTGCTACAACAAAATATCACTAAGTTGCCTAAGATTCTTCTAATTCTATCTCTGATTTCATTTCCTCCTCTTTCCCTGCAAAAAACAAGATCAATTCCAGTTATTTCAGCTGTTGCTCCTCTACCATATAAGAATCAAATCTTCATGTCACCGTATAGACTCAGACATCAGAACATACTGAGCTCAGGTAATCATCCATTGACAATTGCTTCCGCTTCTTTTGTGAAGTTGGGCTCTCAGTCGGCTGCCTCCCAGATGCTCGTTTTGATGGAGTCAGGTTCTGAGAATAAAAAATAAAAACAAAAAAAAAAAAAGTTAGAAAAGGAAACAACATACTGGACATTCTTGGAAACTCAGGGCCCAGACATCGAGAGTAATGATTAAAAAGCAAACAAAATGCAGAATGACAAAAGCAGGAATCACAAATGAGCACGAGTGCTTATAATTTGGTTGGATAGGAAGATGAGGGAAGAAAAGCAGAACCTTGGCAAGCTTCTTCTCCTTCCGAGCCTGCCTCTCCCTCTCATCATACTCTTGGTTTTCCTTTTCAACCAACCGAATGAGTGTATCACATCTTCTAGCAAGTTCTTGAGTTGTGCGAGACTTCACAAACCAGTCAAAACGAAACAAGGGAGATGTGCGGAAGGCTGCCTTCAGCTCATCCCAATTACCATACCCAAGCTTGTGAACCATGCATATCTGTGTATCCCGTGCAAGGCATAATAAACATTAGTAAATCATAACATAATTAGCTCACAGACTAGAGAGTGAGACCAACGCACCATAAAACGATCACATTCTTCATTGTACAACTTTCCTTTATTCTGACCATACTGTATCTTTAATTCCAGCCACGGGTTCTTGTAACGATCCAATTTCTTCCCAATAGCTTTCATGATCTCATCTTTCCGAGAAATTCTGGCCTCTCCTCTTTCAATGTTCTTGATGATTCTATCATAGTCTGTACAGTTAAAACACATTACAGAACACACAGGTGAATGAATAATTTTGAATTGTTTGTCCCAGCTCCAGGTAGAAAATACCATAATGAAACACCGAAAACAAGAAAAAAGAGGTCCCAACCACTAACAGACAAATGGATTCTAGTTCAACCACCAAACTTTCTTTGACACTAGAAGGAACTGTAACAAACTTAAGCAACAAAAGCAGGATCATGGTACAGCATTCAAATATCCAATTATCAGTGCCAGCTCAGGAGACTTGAAAAGAAAGGAAACTCGTTAACCAAATCCATAGAACCAGTATAATTCCTCTTTATATTGTTGAAGAGAAACAATTTGGATATGCACAAAGGCAGGTGCCTTATGATGGGCAAGTCTTGGATAACTTTCCAATTTTCAAAAGGGCTTAATTCAGAGACCTTGAAGGACTGGAAACTCCTATCGTGAACCCATCTTATTAGAAGAATCAAATACATTTTGGCACAAGGTTGACAGCAGCCCATGGACAACCCTCGGCTACTGTTTCATGTTTAAACACGTTTCAAGCAGTGGTAAGATTATTACCACTTGAATTCTAAGCCCTGCACAAGATCAGGCCTACTTGAGGATAATGAATTGAAGAAATTTCCAACACATATTCATAAACACAGCAAAAGTTCTCGAGATAAAATTGACAGGCATAAAATAACATCCCTGTAAAGAACTAAAAGTTTAGGAGATCACTTGCCATTTAACTCCTTGTATCGTTCTTTAAAAACTTTTGCATATCTTTCCACTTCTTCCTCTGTTTTCCCTTCCATTTCTGAAGCAATACTTTTTATATCGCTTCTGCCATACTTCTCACAAGCCCGGATGAAAGTATTGAAATCCCTTCGACTCCATGAAGAAAATCCCTACAACAACAGTAAAATGAAGAGACCAATAATTAACACCTCAACCTGAACCATGTGTTCCACTTACAAAATTCCTTAAGGGGCAGCTAAATTAGGTGAGAGGCCAATAGTTTAAAACTCAATCTGCATCAACTACTCCACTTACCTCTTCTAATAGTCGCTCCTTTTCCTCCAACTCCTCAGCAGTCAAGGGATCTCCCCCTTCTAAGCATATAGCACAGAGTCAATAAAAACCTAAAAAAGAGCGGGTCAACACAACAAGAGAAGGGAGAACAATGGAAATTTACCTTCAGGCTCATCAACATCAATGGTATCTTTCAACTGATTCTTCTGGTGAGTTTGCTGATTGCCAAAAAATTAAAAAATGATTAAAATATGAACAGATTCTCAAGCAATAAGCAGGCAATTGACATAATAAAAAAGACATCAATTAACTTAAGGGTACCTACCATAAGGTAGCGTACTTCTTTTTCATACAGCTCACTCAGCCTTTGGGTGTTAAAAAACTGGAAATCATGCCTGCAAGGAATAGCAAAAGGAGGTGCAGTGAATCATATTGACATTTTATATAGAATACAATTGCAATCCAAGTTTTAAGACAGTTAGAAATGGCACTAACAATTGGGGCATACGAGGAATTCGAGGCTCTTTTGGCTTTGTTGGAGCGCCTTGTCGCATTGTTTGCTTAAAGTATTCAGATTCTGAGTAGCTGATGCACAAATAATGGGAAAAAATAATGTTTCACATATGGAAAAGAAACATGTGCTAATTTAAGGGAAAGCTAGAAAATCAAACATTACTTGCGCTTCCTCTCTCTTTTTGGCGGTTCAATCCAATTTTCACTGACAATCTTCTTAAAGTCAAATTTGTTTTCATCCTTCAATGACAAAGAAAAACATCAGAAACCCAATACTCCATTGAATAACAAACACTCTATTTAGATCAAAGACATCAAACATAATTTCTACCTTGTCATCATCAAAATCATACAACTCAGCAGCTGCAACAAAAGCACTAATAGTTAGTCCTCCACTCTGATAATGCAGCTAAACCAATAAGCTAAACTAAAGTAATTCCATTAATTTGCATACTGTCATCCATTTTAAACTTAATTGCATCTTCTGTAAATTTTTTCATCTTGGCATCAAGTTCAGCTGTTGCCTCCTCTCCTTTAGCAATGATTCTGTCAATATCTTCATCCGTAATTGTGCTGTCTTTGGAACTGAAAACCATCTCCGCACCAAACCTCACCATTTGAAGCAACTCATCCTTATTAACAGCTGCATTGGCGAAAGAAGCATACAAATGTTACTGACAAAGACCTAGTAATTCATAAATCAATATTTCTATTAGGAACCACTTACTTTTCTGTTCTGCGAGTCGTCCTTGTTGAATCACCAAAGCATCAAGTGCTAACTTCTTGTAAGCTCTCTCAATCACTTTTTCCTCAATAGTATACTGTTTAACAAGAAAAATGGAGTCTATATCACTACAGAAGAGCTCCTCAAATTTAATAAACAAAAAAGAAAAATTTTAACCTCTGTGCAAAACCGGAAGACTTGAACTTCTTTCTTTTGACCAATCCTATGTGCACGGTCCTGTGCTTGCAAATCAACTTGAGGATTCCTGCAAAAAAACCCCTAGGATCATCAATCTGAAAGATGGAACCAAACAACAATAGATAGAGGATAAGAACTAACCAATCACTATCATAAAGGATGACAACATCTGCAGTAGCGAGATTAATACCAAGCCCTCCAGCTCTTGTAGATAACAAGAAAACAAACTTCTCACTTCCTGGCTTATTGAATGCATCTATGGAAGCATCACGATCTTCCCCACCAGTATTTCCATCAATCCGGCAATACTGGTATCCACGGAACATTAGGTAGTCCTCAAGAATATCCAGTAGCCTTGTCATCTAAAATGGAATCCCAAGATGAACAAAATTACACACCAAAGAACCCAAAAAAGCTTAATATTTTTCACAATGAAGGAACATATAAGAAACCACCATAACAAACATGGTTAAGTGACTGGTAAACATAAATTAAGAAACCACCATAACAAACATGATTAAGTGACTGGTAAACATAAATTACACTCTATGCTTGTTTAAAATAATATATCTTATAGAGAACTGACAGTACTTACCTGTGAAAATATCAGAACTCTAGAATCACGCTCCTTTAGCTTTGGAAGCAACTTATCCAAAAGAACCATTTTACCTGAAAATGAAAATATGAGAGAATAGTCATCTATATACAATTTCAGTCCATTATGTAAAGTAAACACTACATCAAAGCAAATCTAACCAGCATTTGTTATAAGATGCTCCCCCGTCGTATAAGGTGGGCCAGGTTCAGCACCCTGGAAGAGATATGGATGATTACAGCATTTACGCAGCTGCATTGCTATGTTCAAAAGACGCTTGCGTTCTCCACCAGCATTAACAACTTCAAGATCTTTCTGCAGTAAAGCCCTGTAGTATTGCTTTTGCATCTGCGACATACCTACTTTAAGTATAGTCTCTTTCTTTGGAGGTAAACCTTTCTCAACATCTGACTTTAATCTCCTAAGAAGAAACGGCCGGAGGACCTTAAAGATGCAGATACAATGTTAATTTTTCCAAATGAAAATAAAGTCATGAAGCTAAAATATAAGAGGCTACTGTTCCTACCTTGTGAAGCTGCTGAACAACTTCCTGCTGGTCATTTTCACCAGAAATTTGAAACCACTCATCAAAAGTCTCAGCTGAACTAAAAATCTCAGGAAGCAAAAAGTTGAGAAGGGACCATAGTTCATGAAGATTATTCTACATTTGAAAAACAATAGCAAAAACAATCATTAGAACATAATAACGAAATTTTAAAGAGTTAAAACTTCCAACATTTAAATTCACTCTCCTTAAAACCTGTTGGAGAACAAATCAGGCTTAAAACAAGAACAAATGGGCAAAAGATATAAATAAGCATAAGATCATCCAGTTTAACACATTGGAGCAACTCCTACTCATACACCGTAACCAACAATGAAGCTCCGCTAAAACATTTTTTAACAATGAAACTATCTCATCATCCTCAACCAGATTCTAGGAAAAGGAGAAAAATAAACATACACATCATAACAAAATAGATACTGTATTTGATAAAAAAAAATGTGACCCAAAAAAGGGGTTATATTTGTTATCTGCCAGAATATTTGCCTCTGCTTTTCACTATATGAAAAACTTTTCGAAGGATGGTACCTCCCTCAATACTAATCACATAGAATAAGAACCAGATTGATGTCCGACCCTAATGGACTGTTCGACTACAGCTAGCCAACCTTCCTCCATAAGACCATGGAAGGTCAAACACATACAAGCCAAACAGCTAATGGCATCACATTCCAATAACCCAATTATGTAGGTCATAGGCCAGAAGATTTTTATATATACCTGAAGCGGAGTACCAGTAATAAGAAGACGGTAATTTGTATTATAGATTCTCATCGTTTTTGAGAGCAATGAGTTTTCATTCTTTATTCGATGTGCTTCATCAATGATTATATACCGCCAGCTAAAGCGACGCAATGTAGACTTCTCTTTAATAGCCATTTCAAAACTAGTGACACAAACATCAAACTTGCCTGCAACCAGTAACTCTTCTCGTATGTACTTCTGCAAAAATTAATTGTTGCCAACTATTATAACCAAGAAAGTACCTAGTATAAGCAATAGCATTCCTGTATGTACTTCTGCAAAAATTCATAGTTGGCAAATATAATAATAAAAAAAATATCTAGTGCTTAGGCACACTATCAGCAACTTACTCTCTCATCAGGATTCCCAAGAAACTTAACAGCGCGAAGAACAGGGCAAAAACGGCGGATTTCATTCATCCAGTTACCAAGAGTTGACTTTGGAGCAACTACCATATGAGGTCCAGTGATTCCTCTGAATTCATGCAGATAACCCAACAAGGAAATAGTTTGTAATGTTTTACCAAGACCCTGGATCAGAAAAACTAATTGTTACATCGCAAGAGGATCAAAAATGCTAAAGTACAAACCACCCATGACAGAAGACAATCTTGGGGGAAAAATTCAAGTACGGAAGCGTGAATCCGAAGGCTTAAGATCCCTGACACACACCATTTCATCCGCAAGGATTCCATTTATGCCATTCTCGTATAGTCGTATGAGCCAGTTCAATCCAGCAAGTTGGTAATCTCTCATCTTCCCTTGTATACCTGTATAGAATAACATCAAAACAAGAATGTACCCAGCCTAGAAGATTCTTACAAACATCAGGGAAAATTTTTTCCATGAAAATAAGTATTATGTTTTTAAACAGAAGTGCTAATCAATGTGTTTTCAATTACTATACTAACCAATAGATTTTCTTTAGTCATTGATTATAAAAAAAATATATAAGCAATCACCTATAGACCATGCAACAAAAATAGATGGTGATGGGTTCAGGTATTGCAACTGTATTAAAGTTCTTCTGGCAACCACTAAAGATATACAATATCCACTAAAGTGCGACATGACCTAAAAATAACGCCACCAACATGCAAATGCATTAAAAATCATATATATTTGGAGATTCGTCCACACGGATATTATCACCATCATTAAATAACAAGCTTTCAAATCCAAAGCTATTTCTAAAAAAAATTCAATAATAAAGCAATATCTTATGGGAAAAGAGGAAGCACAAAAGCATTCCCACGCATGCATACAGAAAGAGGGAGAACTTACAAGAGGGTTGCATCACCAACCGTGTGTTTCCTGTCCCAGACAGACCATCTTCTTCCTCCTTGAGGCATTCTTCATCTTCTTCCTCTTCAGTTAATTTTGATGCATGGCGGCCCCTATCCCAATAAACATAAATCAAAACACCATGCACCCCTACTCTTTCAATGAAAAAGTTAAAACTGTATCCAGTAGAAACGGTTTGGTTCTCCATTCTTAGTGGAAAATGAGTATGTTAAACAACAACTAATAGTTTGGTTACTATTCAACATTTAAAAGGCAAAAGATATTCTCCTGATCTCAGAAAATTAGCAAGTGAATAGTAAATTAGAAAATGATAGCCAACATTAAATCAATTAAATGAAAAGAGATTTCTGTTTGTACAGTGATTCCTGTGTAATGGCTGTGTGTATAAATCCAGCCAACGCTTCATATTCAAAGAACAGAAATATAGAAAATTGATCAATCATAAACCAATAATAACATATTGACCCAAACTGAGTTAATAGATCCTTGGAGTTTTATGTAGCCAGTTACACAACCAGAATCAAACTAGAGGCTCAGATTAATTTCCCCCCAAAGATGAGAGTTTATAACATTGTATCATCCTGAGTCCTACATCATGTAAAGAACAGTCAACAACCACATACCATTAAAATAACAAAAATTGCATAGATAATATGTACTGGAAACTATCACACCCACAATGTCCATGTCGCACCACACACCATAAAAATAGAAAACTATGTCTCATCATTGTGACGAGACATACAAATATTGATAGAGCTCAATTAGGCCTACGTATTTGCAACAATTCATTAGTACTGAGCCTGTTAAGAATGAGTGTCCACTCAAAGATCTTTATCTTTGAGTGCACTTTAATTTTCCAAAACACATTGGCAAGAGAAACTGATAACAATTAGGATGTCAGTTAAGGTTTTGGACCAACATTTTGCAGGTAAAAATTCCAGAAGGTTCTTCAAGTTCTCTAACAGGAAACAAAATGCCCTATTATCAAAAGACTTAAGGACGAAACCAAAAATCTCTACTTCCACCAAAAAAACACGTACTGAAACTACAACAAATGCAACCAAGTAAATAATTTTAATGATCTTTTGAACCTTGTTAAAATAGAAAACAAGGTAAAAGCTAGCAATCATTCATTAGGCATACCTTCCTTTTGCCCTCTTCTGGGACGAAGACTGATCCCCTTTTGCAAAATGTGCAAATAATTCTGTTTGCTGCAAAAGATACTTCAACCGCCCCTTCCCCCTATTGTTCTGCCATTAAACAACATGTTAATTTACTCATCCAGCAATTTAGACATATGTAGAAGTGAGAAATATGGTCATGCCATATTTCACACGCACCATATCAGCATCTATTGTAGCATTTTGTGCATCTAATATTTCCTGAATCTTCTGTTTCTTCATTTTCTGCATTTCTTTAAGTCTGGCTTTTTCGCGCTTGCTGATCTCAGCACTAGCTCCACCATCATCTTCCTGTAAATAAACCAGACAAACAAGAGAACATGTAAAGAATGCTACACCAATACAACCTTTTAAGCAGTTAAAACTGATGCTTACATGCATGCACACATGTTACGAAATGCATATATAGAAGATATCAGTCGTCGCACCTGCATTTATCAGATGGTATGTTCAACATAACAAAAAACAAAGGATACGGAGTGCAATACCAATAGTGACTTCTCAAAAACCTAGACAAACTGAAACCATTAAAGTTTATCCATCCAACAGGAAATGCATCTAACGAGGGATGACTTAGTAAGTAGAATGAATGTAAAATGCACCCAGGCAACCCTACTTGACAAGATTTTCAACTTTAGTCCGCCTTGACACCGTGAAAGCTGAGGAAGATGCAAGATACCATTTTCACACGTCGCCACAGGACTAGATGACACTATATCTAACTTATGAGTAAGTTCCCCATTTATGTATAATCAAATTAGAATAACCCTAATGTTCCTTCTACACCCCAAACTATTTCTCGTCAACCAAACAAAAACTCCAAACCAATCCAAGCCTTATACTATGGCCCCTGCAACCTAATTCGATACCTACAACGACAATTGTAAATTAAATCCAAACACCCCCAGATCCACCCAACGTCACTCGCAGAACCTACAGAAAAGCTGGAAAGCTTAAAATAAGCATAAATTTAAAAAATTAGAACGGGAAATCAACCTCATCGGCATCCTCGTCCCGGGCGGCTTCATCGTCGGAAGCTGGTGAGTTGTCTTCATCGGAGCCAGCGGAGCGAGCGACGGCTTCAAGCTCCTCTTCGTCTTCCTCGTTGACCTGATCGTTGAGACGCTCCTCTTCGGAGGAATCGGAACCGTTTGAAATGGCCTCATCTGAAGAAACCTGCTGCTTCGAGGATCTCGCCATAGTTCCTTGCCTCAGATCGAGGGTTTCTTTCTCGATAGAGAGAGTTACCGACTTTTAAGTAGATGAGAAATTCGGTCTCCAGAATAAAAAGGGAAGAAATGTTAAATGTTCAGTAAATTTATAGCCGTCCGATTGTGGGAATACGAGATGTACGGTTTATAAGTGGCTCGTGTGCGGGAAATAGGAATTTCCCGCCAAATAAGAGAAATTGCAATTTTTCCCGCGTCTGGGTTGGGCTGGTCATCTAATGGCTGGCCCTTCAAACTTCACTCAACAGTTTACATTTTGCTAAAATAATTATTTGGTTCTTATGTTATTTATTTTTGTTTAAATTAGTTTTTATGTTAATTTTTTGTCAGCTTAGTCTTTATATTTTAAAAAATAGTTGATTTATTTACTCTCTATTAATACAACTAATAACAAATGTCATAAGTGTAAGTAATTGACACGTGTCATTCTTTAGTTTATCATAATACACATCATATGTCATGTAATATCTATTGTGATAACTAAAAATATGCATGTAGAATGATCTAAACTAATTTGTATTTTAAAAACCCAATTTGATCCCAACTGGCCCCATCCCTAATCCCTAATTTCTCTCCTTCATCTCTCTCTATTTGTGTGTGTGTGTGTATGGTAGATAAGAGCATATAATTGACCAATATCGCTGATGGAGAAATCCATACTCCAAATAAATAATTAAAAAAATTATTTATGTGATCTTTTTGCCTCTTCTTATGAGAAAAATACTGAGTCTAAATGTACTGGTACTTCCAGCATCAACGTCCTTTAAAATATTAAGAGATAAATTGTCAAATACCCATTTCATTGTCCGTGACAATGAGGTTTACAATATCACCTACGAAGGTGTTTACATTTTTTGCCTCTATCTCATCTAATGGCTTCATAAAGATTTATGATATTTGCTATAATTGGCACTTCACCATCATTTATGAGAACTTTAAACCAAACATTCATTTAGTTCGCCTCAAATGGGACAAGTAGGATTTAGACTAACATTAACATCATCATTGGGTATCTATAACTCATACCACATATGTATTGTAATGGACAATTCATAAGCTTTGATATGGGACTTACCTTCTATGGGTCAACCAATTGAAGACGAATTATATCATCTTTTGGCTTAGATTACAAAAATTAAAATTGAGCAATTTTAATGGTCATCTTTCCAACATGATTGAGTTACATCCACCGTTTCTATCGAGCTTTAAATTGATCATCGACGATGCACCAAATGTGAATGAATGCATAAAAGGAAAAATAAGGAAAAGAATAAGAAGGGACATATTTTTTGGGATTTAAGGGAATCAATATTTTTTTTTTCATTTGGACCAGTTAAGACTGATCTAAATTAAAATAATTGTTACCATATATGGCATGTCAGAATATGCCATGTATCAATAAATTAGACATTTAACACATAAATTAACGGCTCCTCCGACTCATGTTGCGGTTGGGTGTTTTGTTTCGGTCAATGTGTAGAGAAGAAAACGGTGATCACAACAGTGAAAAAATTACGAAAAACGAGAATCGGGAAGAGTCTTATAAGAAGCGTTTTGTGAAATTTTTCGCGGCGGCGGCGCCGAGATTTGTCGGTATTTTTCGACCAATTGACCGATTTTTTCACTATGATTTGGCCATGGATGAGCTCAAAATTGAATTTCGTGCAAAAAAGAAAGTTTTTACCTTTTTTGGCGGTCGGAAAAGGTTCCGGTGCGGCGGCGGGTGGCGGTGGTCGACTCCCCGGCAGTTGGGTCGTCTTCTCTGGCGAGGGGTTCTGGTGGCTAGAGTTAGGATTTGGTGCGAATGGAGGTTATTTATATCTATTCGCTTTTGATCTGTGCCGTCAATCGCGTTTTATCTAGATCGTCCGATCACGATTAAAAAGAGAGTGAATATGAGTCGTTAATTGCGATCTAATCTGGATCGTCTATCACGATTCATTATAAGCCATCCGATCGTATTTGAATCTAGCCATTCGATCGCGTTTGGGAGTGAACACATCCAGGTTGTCCCTGCGCGCGAGAACGGACCTCAGCTGTTCGATCACGGGCACACGGATCGTCCATATGGCCTCCTGCGTCAGCGTCTCTGCCACTTGGTGCGTCCTTGTTGGTTAGGGCTGCTGACCGAACGTTTGACGTGACGAAACTTCTCAAAATTACGTTTTGGCCTATGTTTTTTTATTTTTCTTTTGAAAATACTCAAAGAACCTAAATTTTCACATATTTTCTATAAAATTATTTTCAATTAAATGTTCAATTAATTTTATTTTATTTTTTACACTAAATAAAATAAAATATTAAAACAAAAAATTTGTGGATAGTTACAATATATCTGATGCGTCGTAAACAACACTCCATCGTAATGCACAATAAAATTACATTACTTATTTTAAATATGTTTCTCGAGCAACACATCATCACAACGATACGATAGTGTGGTTTCTGTTTCCAATTTTAAACACATTTACACAAGAACATAATTAGCACAATACACAGTGAAGTCTCATTTCTTAATTCCAAACATTTGTTGACACATAATAACTATAAAAATCAAATTTAATTATATATAGCGGCCGGTAAAACAAATTTTGACCTCAAGATATAACTGACGGTGGGTTTCGTTTATGAGTTTCGAAAAAGATTGAAATCAAAATTTGATATCTCAAGCAAATTGGAATCATTTAATTGGGTATTTGAGTTCGGTTTCTAAGTGGCTTTTCTCTTTTGAGAAAACAAAATATTAATACATAAATGCTCTGTTAGTTTTTGTAAAATAAAAAATTAAATATTTGATGAGACTATATAAATACGAAATTGGTGACAAAAATTTGCTCTGGATATTTTATGTGTTAGTAATGATTGTAATATATATATATATTTTTTTATAGAGTTACGAGAACTTTCCACCCCAATATTAAATTCATTGTGTAAAAATAATTTATACCACAAAATTAAAATGTAACATTTATAAATAACCCACTAATTCAATTCATTTGATAAAGGCTGCTATAAAAAAGTTTTTAGAATTTTTAAAAAATAATGATTATTCGTTTAAAAATTTAATGGCTGAAAAATTATTAAAAAATATAATAAAATTTTTATCATAATTAATTAATTATATTTAATTAAATTAATACATAATATAATATATTAGTAAATTTACATTTCAAACTTATTACATGGAAACAAAATAAAGATTAGCTATAACTGCAAAAAAACCACGTCAGCTTCGCACGTGTATGTAATTACTTTAATACCCTTACAACTACCGTAAAAAAAATTAATAAACGTGCGGTCGTCTACCATTCAACGAGGGCAATTTAGATAAAACAATAAAGCAGACTGGACTTCGTAGAGAAAAACTGGCGTGTGCTTTAATATTCCTCTATCCATCTCTTCCTCTTCTTCGTCTTCTTCCCCCCAAGTTTCCCCTTCCTCCTATCTCAATCAGACCAGACAACAATTGCCGTATGTCAATTGTACAGTTCTTTTAAACTTAAGCGGCTTTGTTTCTTTGCAACAGCGGAGCTGTACTATCATCCACGGCCCTCATCGGGACCCGGACTTCGCGGAGCAAGTAGGTCGACCGGGTTTCTATTTAGGGTTTTATTGTTCAATTAAATAATTATCGTTTAACTGTCGGTCAACGAGAAGAAGAGAGACATTTAGGTTGTGTTTGGCTATTGGTTTTGGGGTTTTCTATTTTAATTTTGTTTGTATGTTGCTTTGCAGAATATGGGGAACAGAAGCTGGTTGATATTGGCGATTGTTGCGCTTCTTTTTGCTTGTTCATCTGGGAGAGGTGCTAAAGAAACTTATCATGATTTATTAATCTTTTTTTTTCCTTAGCTAATTGCATATTATCTTGGTTTATTGTATTAGATGAGTTGTTGGATTATATATCTTCGTTTTGATGTCATGCAAGTTGTGCCTTCGATTATTTAATTTGTGTTTTTACTTGAACTGAATTGAAAGGGTTTGTTTCTGCCTTATGTAGGTTTTTCAACACTGTGCTTTATAGTCTTTGTATGTTTTGTAAAATCAAAGCTGTAAATAGCTCTTTATTTTATCAGTTTTGTACTTGTCAATGTTTTTGGGCTTGAAACCTAGATTTAGTATGGTTTTTAGACAGCTGGATGCAGGATTAACGAACATGGTAAAGTATGTACTGTGTGGGATTATAGTCAATTACTTCCTGTAGGGTTCACGACTGGGGAGGAAAGCTGTAAATTTTTCCGTTGTCAGGACCTATTGGGAGTCTGGGACTAGCTAGTCTTTGCCTTTCTTCTGATTGCAGCTCGAAGAAAATAAGGAGGCATCTGTTTATTGCTCTTAGTTGTCTTTTTCTTTTCAAAAAGAATTGGTTTGTGGTGGTGGCTTGGGACTTTAGGGTTGTTTTTTCAGATTACGAAACACATTCTAATGAAGCTATGATTCTACAGAACTCAAGGTTAAGCATGAAGTTAATAAACCAGTTTACAACCGTACCCTTGCAAGAATACTAGTGGAATATGCTTCTGCAGTAAGTTATCCTGAATCTAATTTAGAAGCACTTCAACTGTCTTGGCTTTAAATTTTGTTGTTGTTAATACGTTTGGTCTTGTGTATTTTTCATGTAAATTTGTTTGTCATTCTTCTCTTCATATGTTGTGGTGTCCAGTTATCTGTATAATGTGAAGCTGTCACCCATCCAAATTTGTGTTTACATTAATGGAATAGAATGCTGAATAATGCTTGCTATCTCCAATGAGATGTGGTTTCTGAATTTCCAGGGAGGTGTAGTTTTGATTTCAGTTAGAAACGAGCCACTTGACTCCTTGAATTAGAAACAGACAAGTTTGTGTTGTTATTTCTTGTTGCAAGTTGTCCCCAACTCACAGATGTTAGCTTCTTTAGGAACCCAAAGGGGAGTGTGGGACTATTAATTCAATCTCTTTGCCCTTGAAAATTTTACATGGTTTTTCTAAGCTTATCTTCCTGTAAGTTTTTTTTCCCTCAGTTTCCTTGGTTTATGTTAATAATATGATTGTCATTCTTGAGACAGTTTGGAGCATTAGTTGGTAACAGAAGTAAGCTTTTGCTTTTAGGTGTATGTGTCAGATGTTACCGAACTCTTCACTTGGACGTGCACAAAATGTGATGGGTTGACCAAGGTAGCTGATTTAATCTTTACATTTTTCAACTTGCATTTTTTAGTAGGTTTTTTGCTTTAAAATAATTGTCCGGCCACCTTTATTAATGGAGCAGGGTTTTGAAGTAATAGAGCTGATTGTTGATGTAGAGAACTGCTTACAGGTAGATTTCCTATCTTGTGTTGTATGTTAAATGATAATGTGGATCAGTTCTGCTTTTTTTTTTTCAAATAGTATTCATGGTTCTGTGACTTAGGTACTAATTTCTTTTTTACTGTCCTACTGATAGGCATTTGTTGGAGTGGCAAAAGATCTGGATGCTATTGTTATTGCTTTCCGAGGAACTCAAGAGCACAGGTACAATAGTTTTATTGGTTATATAATGTTTTGATTCTTGAATTATCCTTTAAATCTAAAGTTTTGAGTGAAAACGAGGACAACTTTTGCTTGTTGGCTGCACTGTCCTACATACAGCAGGAGAAACGTAAATGAAAAAGAAATTGAAAAATATGAGAGAAGTTTAGTGGAAGAATTTGGTATTCTTTCGTTGACTGCTGTTTAATGTACAAAACTGCATGTTTACAGTATACAGAACTGGGTTGAAGACTTGTTCTGGAAACAGCTTGATTTAAATTATCCTGGAATGCCTGATGCAATGGTATGTACTGGAGAAACATGTTTCTCTATTTGTTCAGTTAATTTTAAATTAGAATGGTAATATATTTTTTGTTGTTATCTATTCAACATGAGGTGATGTCAATATTAAATTTTCTTCAATGATTTAGGTGCATTATGGATTTTACAGTGCTTACCATAACACAACATTACGGCCTGGAGTTTTAAAAGCTATTAAACAAGCAAAGAAAATTTATGGAGACCTTACCATCATGGTGACTGGACATTCTATGGGAGGAGCTATGGGAGCATTCTGTGCACTTGATCTAAAAGTAAGTTTTAGCCTTTCTTAATGCAGCTGGAAGCTTCTCATTTAAATTCTCTTTGTTGTTACTTACAGAAACTTGCTTCTTTCTTGATGTTTTTTCTTTCTTCTGTGTCCAGGTTAACCGTGAAGCAGAGAATGTCCAGGTTATGACATTTGGACAGCCACGTATTGGCAATGCAGCATTTGCATCTTACTATAAACAGTTTCTACCCAATACAATTCGAGTCACCCATGATCATGACATTGTACCACATTTGCCTCCATATTATTCTTACTTCCCACAGAAAACATACCACCATTTCCCTAGAGAGGTAATGAAGTAAACTATACATTTTGACTTGTCTAAATGAACCTAGTATCTGTGACTTTCTATATAATCCGGAAACAAAAACCTATACGAGGCACTGGAAATTTCTGATCTCAAACTGTTTCTGGCGACACATGTTCCATATAATTGTGATAGTGTTTCAATGTTACATGTGCCATGTCTCAATATTACATGCACCCATGTTACTTTTTCAAGTTGGCATGATTTATAATTTAATAGATGCAACACAAGTACTAATGGTTATACTAGTGATTTATAGAGTTGCAAGGTAACTGTATGGAAAGCAGGTTGTCCCTTGTAGTTCATATATGATGACATAAGCTTTTTTTTTTTTTTTAAATGATATATGATGATATAAGCTTTTCTGGCATGACTTCAGTTCCTTGGAGTTTTTCCTTTCCGTAATCTTTGTCACTTCAAATAGTTCTTGAAAACTGCTTCAGTCAGCTTGCTGACCTTTTTGGTGACACTTTCTGGTTTTTATCTGTCTGGAGCATAAGACTTTAAAGTTCACCTATGTAGCTTGGACACTGCTAAGCCTGATAAATTTTGTTCCTACAATTCATCCCACAATTCATTATAATTCCTTTCCTCTTTGATAGAACACTATAGTATCTGATATTGGTTCTTATTATCGTCCTTATTCTCAATTACAATAAAGTTATTTGACAAAAGGATGAAGTTGCCATGTTCATGGGACATCATTACATGCTGATCTTATACTAGCTAAACGAAAAATGATCTTATAGGTCATATAGGGTATTCTTGAAGGTTTCTAGAATTTGTGTTTTTGACAAATATTAGCTGCAGTTATGTGCTCCTGTATCACATACTCATAATAGGCAGAATCATCTTGAGCATATTGATCTATTATTTTCACTACCTCATTTTTCAACTTTGAAAAACCAATAGTATTTTCCTCACCTGTAGGTTTGGCTCTATAATGTTGGATTGGGAAGTTTGGTCTATGTAGTGGAAAAGGTTTGTGATGGCTCTGGCGAGGACCCAACTTGTAGCAGGTAAAAGCTTCTTTTTACGTAATCTTCATTCATGTAAGCTTATTGATGTGACTTTAGCTTAAAAGAAAATGCGTTTACTTGAGTTGTTCAAGGTTTATAAAACTCTTGGCACCTGAAAAAGGCTTCTGCATCACCCGGTTGTTGGAACATTCTGTTTTTGGTAACAGTTCTTATATAGAATGGGCTACTAATCACTAAACAAAGTGTAAGTGGTTGGGCTGCTGTGAAATTATGTTCTCAACTTTTGTGCAGGTCGGTGACCGGGTATAGCATTGCTGACCATTTGGTCTATTTCGGTGTTGAGTTAATGTGCAAGAACTGGCAATCATGCAGAATTGTGATGGATCCTCGGGTGAGGCAGCATGGCAAAACTGATCTGAAAGGAAATTTTGTTTTGTCTAGGGTTCCATCCACGCCTATACTGGAAATGAAAGCACAGTCACACACTGAGGCCAGCAATATCTAGAATCTCATTCGTGTCACTTTGTGAAATCTCTTGCAAGAATTGTATTATCACCACGCATAACCATCACGGCTTGTCTTATGAACTCCCTTCAGAAGGTATGGTTGATGTTTAGGTTTCAGGAGGGATTTGTGTATATAGTTACTGAAATTGTACAAACAACGTTTGTTCATAGTATTAAATAAATTCCATATAATTAAAATAACATTTTTAAAAAAAAAAAATTAATATTCATTTCCATACTTGTTCTGGGAAAATTCTGTGTGGATCCTTTCTGAATTTGTGTACAGATACGTTGAGGAGGAAATGGAATTAATATCTAATGATTTATCGGGGAATCAGAGACTGTGAAGATCTCTGAGCACACACTCTCTTTATTCATACTTGTGTAGTGTTTGTGACGGTCAGAAAAATATTATAAGAATGTAACACTAAGTGATGTAAGACTACCGAATTTGTTCTAAATTTTGACCATAAATTAATTTTCATCTCCCATTTCTAAAGTTACTCAATTATGATACTGAATAATATTTAGCATTTTAAGTTATTTAATTATGATACTTGTATGAGACTCGCTTGCGCTTTGAGAAACGTCGCGAACAAAATTAAGTAAAAAATAATTTTAACGTGAAAAATAAAATAGTATTTGTTCATATAATTTTATATTTAATTAATTATACTATAAACTTAACAATATCTAATGAAATCATAAAACATTTTATGAAAATCAAAGAATTTATCATAATTATTTAAATAATATTTTTACTAATTTAAATTATTTGAAAAAATATCTTATTTATTGTACATAAATTTTGATTGTTTAATATAAATTATCTACAATATATATATATATATATATAATTTAATATTAAAATAAATTAATATTGTATTTTAAAAATCTTAAAATAATAAATCAATAAAATATAAAGTTAATGTGTATTAATTTTTTTTTTTTTTTTTTGTACTTTTACTTAAAACACTTATTTTATTTTTTTAGTGTTTATTCAAACTTATATTTTTTGATAGCAAAAATAAGAAGTTGAGGTAGGCACTTAAGGGGGTAAGCTAATATTTTAATCAAACTCAAGTATTGCTACACTCGTCTAGTATTTCATTATTGGACAGCACTTAGTCCGAATGTCAATTTCTTATTCTTTTCTTCTTGATGTGTTTGTGTATATATACATATATATATATATGTGTAAACACGTAATTAATCTGGTATACATATCGTGCATATAAAAAATAATTTGTATTTCTTAACATTCAGTAATGAATACACAATTCATAAACAGATATGAAGAGTTACAGACAAATCTCTTGTTTCTCTTGTTCTAACTTTGACGCCTAACTTATCCACACCCTCATCAATATACCACGAGGGGTTTTGAGCAGCAGAAACTCTAAAAGAGTATTAAAAGATAAACAAAATTAATTAACAACACAATTGATAATCACAAAGGACCAGAGACGGTGAATCAACAACAAATTTTAATTGCTTCAGTTCTTCATATTAAGTTTTTCAACCTTCATGTTGTCTTTGGCTCTTGATCAGTACCCGAAACACCGGTTGAATCCGCCTGCTTTTCCTTCTCATCAGTGGCTGTTGATGAAGCTTCTGTTTCATCTTCCTTTGTTGTTGGAGTTGCAGTAGTTTCGGCTTCTTTTGTTTCTGTCGTTTCAATCTTGGTTTCCTCTCTACCTGTTGTTGTTTCAGTCTTGATTTCTTTGGATTCTGTAAGATGGAATGAAATTATATGCCGAAAGATATAATATATAGTTAAAAAATGTATTTGAATTTATATCATGACGTACCCTTTTGATCTTCTTTTATGTCTTCCACTGCCAATTGTCCCCCTTCTGGACCTGCATTAGTTTCCTCTTTTTCTTCCTCCTCCATCAACTCCTGGTTTGTTGATTCCTCTGAGACCAAACCTTCTGGTAATTTCTTATCAACCTCTTTCTCCTCCACTTTTTGATCTTTAACCTCATCCTTCACATCTTCTGCAACACAATTAATGATATCTCCCCCACTTGATTCCTTCTTCTCATATTTAACGCCATGACCATCTTCTTCAACCTTGACAGGATCACCACCAGACAATTCTTTTTCATTTTTCTTATCTGGGTTTTCATCACCATCACCATTGATATCGGCTGCTTTGTCATTATTGATTGAGACAGTGCTAGTCTTTTCCTCAGCTGTGACCTTCTCAACGTTCGTTTCCATCTTCTTGGATTGAACACTACTTAAAGATTTCTTGAGAACGGTGGTGGTGTTCTCAGTTGATACGGCATGCTTTGATTTCCCACAGCCCATGTTTTTGATTTCTGAAAATGTTGATAATACAGACAACTATGTATATATGAATGAATAGAAGGAATGGAGAGAGGAGATGGGAGGAGGAGGAATCTGGGTAGGGTTTATATAAAAATTGAGAGAGAAAGAAGAAGAAAATGGAGGGTATGATTAGTTTTGATCTGTTATGGTTTAATTTATGCTGGGCACGTTGGTTGAATAGATGAGGGGGTTTGGTGTGAATTTAAAGGTAGAGATTTGTCATGTCTAATTGGCAAGCTCTATTAGTGGAAGAGGAAGAGGAAGAGGAAGAGGAGGAGTAGGGGGGGATTTGTTTATTTTTAGGCGTGTAAACTAAGGCAGGCAGGCAGGCAGGCAGGCTTAACACATTTTTTAAACTTAATTAGCATCCAACTTTGTTGGCAGTTAGTACATTACCTGGATTCTATTATATCATTTCCAATTTGAGTTTAAAATTTTCGGCTACTGGCAGCGAAGAGCAGCAATTTGGGCCGGGCTGGTTAAGGTTAGATCGAGTTTAACATGCTGTCAGAGCTCCTTAAGCTCGTACTTAGAGCTGAAATCCTATTGTTATGCCTAAAAGTTTTATGAATAACTTTATTGATCACCTCAATTAGGCCTTTGAATTAGACTTAAATTAGCATCCATTTCCAATTTCGAGTATAAAGTTTTCGGCTATTGGGAGTGAAGGGCGACAGTTTGGGCCGGGCTGGGTTGGGTTGGATTGAGTCTACCGATTTATCGAGCTCCTTAAGCTTCACTTAATTAGTTATACTTAGAACTGAAGTCCTATTGTTATGCCTAAAAATTTTATGAAATACTTTGTTGATCCCCTCAATTAGTTTTTTGAATTAGGGTTAAAGACACTTCTACATAAAATCTTATGGATATGGACGGCAGTTTGAACTGCTGAAAATAAATAACAAGACTTATTTAAGGGTGGAGCAACATCCATATATATATATATATATATATATATATGTATGATGACAACTTAATAAGACTGCTACGAATATCTTAATTAATTTTTTTTAATTTATTAAATTTAAAATCAAATCCTTAAACTCACAAATTTTCAATGAACTAGAAGGGGATAAAAGTGAAATTAAGCTCTTCAATTGAAAGATATGGTTTATATACTTATTGGGAGAAAATATATTTCTTAACTGATTTTTCAAATAAAGGAGGGTATTTGTTGTGTAACTTAAGAAAATATGAATTTCAATGAAACGACTGTATCAATTAACACAAATTCTCAACTTCTATAATTATTTAAGTCCTTTCCTGCTAGGATGAGTTCTTTGGTAGTGCTAATGTTACTAGCTTTGACTACTAATAACTTAATCGTGATGCTATTGTTGTGTATTTATTGTACTTTCTCATGGGGTGTATATACTATTGATGGTGGTGGATACAAATGACGTAAACTAAACTTGATTTAACTTTGTTGAAAAATTGAATTGAAATTAATCTTGTTAGAAAATTAAGATTCAACAAATAAGAGAAGGACAATGAAACAATTTCGGTGTCTATATATACAGCGAAGACATAAGAGAAAAAAACATATAAGGGTATGAGATAAGAAAATTATTAACTTCAACGAATGAATGCATAACGAGTTTGAATGTGAAATTGTCTAATGAGTATTGTAAAATTTGTATTCTTTTAAATATTTATTTAATTATAAAATTTATTTTTTTAATAATTACAACAAGATTAAATTACTTTTTAACTCTCATTCATATAATGATTACCGATCTTGAATGATTATTTGCTTGATAATATAGAAGAGAATAAATTTTTTGAAATGAAAGAGTTAGAAGGGAGTAAGATTAGTTTTCTATAAATATAATTTTAATTAATTATATAAAAAATATTGTCATAATTGATGCCAATATCACACTTTCAATGTGGCCTCCCATAAATCTTCTAATACAATATATTCCAACCCTCTAATCAATACACTTCTTCTACTTATTAATTAATTTACTATTTTTTTTTTAAAAAATATTTTAATGCAAATAATACAAAATGTAAAAATTTGAAATTCCCAAATATATATAACCAACAATTTATAAATAATTAATCTAAAATTATTTTTTAAAAAAGAAAAAGATAAAAATTTAATTTTTTTTTTAAAAACAAATACTTCATGTGTTTACGTATTTATGAGTTATGATAATTAAATTATCCTAATAAATTCTGATATCATTTTATTTTTTCGTTTTAAATATTTAAATTGATCGAAAAAATGTTACAAGTATCGTATATAATATAATACGAACATGTTGTAGCTACTCAATTTCTTTTAAAGATTATAATTTGTTGATGGGGATGGATGAGAAAGAGAGAAGAGAAGAGAAATAGCCAACTTGCAAGATACCCATGATCACCTTCATATGTCAACTTGCATACATTAATTAATACAAACAACTATTTAATTATTATATTATTATTTATATCTATACACACACACACACATATATATATATATATATATATCAGATCATGAAACATCTAATGTTTTCTTTATAAGATTTATTATTATTATTATTAATGTTGTTGTTTATGTGTATATATATTTATTTTTTAAAAGATTTATTTAGAAAAATATTATGATATTTAAGCTTTTATAATAAATTTTAAATATTTCATAATAATTTGATATATAACCCATTATTATTATTATAAAATATTAAATTTAAGATATATTGCTAACCAAGGTATAATTATATTTATATATATATATATATATATATATATATATACAGTTTTTGACGTATCTGAAAACGCAAGGCAAGTAGATGCGGCAGCAAAGGGAGTTTACAACTTTTTGAAAAGGAATTTTGGGCATTGAAGCAAATACCAAATCTCATCACTCACAACTGGGAAAGTGTACGAGAAAAATACACTTCCCCCTGCAACTCTTCGGATCTGCTCATGTCATTTCATATACATACATACATATATATATATATATACATATATACTTACATTTTATTTTGCTTCTTTCAGCTTTTCTCTCATATTTTGTCTTAAACTAAGAAAAAAAAAAAATATATGTATTCTTTTTTTATGGACGTTAAGTTAGTTTCATTTTATTTTTGTTGGTTGTAAAAATACTACTTTTAAAATGACACAATCATTGTAATTCCAATATATATATATATATATATATATATATGACTGAATTATGTTGGTTAAATATTATTAATAAATTTTTCACGCAGTATTATTTTTAATTGAGTAAATTTTTATATTTGATTTTAGATCGTAAAAATTTAATTTTTTAATATAATAAAAAACTAAAAAATTTAATTTATACAGATAACTTTTTTAATTTTTTATATTTTATTAAAGATAATTGAAAAATTAAATAATTTTTTTATAAATTAGATACCGAGTAAAAAATTGGTTAATTAATAGTTGAATATTTAGTATTTAATTTGTTAATACATGAGAAAATCATTAACTATGTTAATATATATATGTTTGAAAAAATAATTAAAAATAATATATGTGCCAATTACATATATATATATATATACACATAATATTTAATTTGTATTTTGAAATTTACTGTTAATTTTAGATTAAAAAAAATGAGATTTACATATGAATTATAGAAAAGAGTACTGATTATCAATTATAAACACTTCATCTATACGCTTCCATTTTCTCATTGGCCGTCTCGTACTTGTCTTTTTCAGTAACACTCATCACCGCCATTAACGATTCCCGATTCCAACTCTCCAATCGGCCAAAACAAAATGCCCAAAATCTCCTTTTCTCTTTCTTGAAGAAAACTAAGTCCAAGTCACTTTTACATAAAACTTAAAAATGGCGTCTGTTTGCTTTTCAGTTTGGTTGTATTTATCGCCATTTTAGCTGTTTAATTGGAAATCCTTCGTTTTGTTTTACTGCGTCTTCCAGCTGTTTGCAAAAATGCCCACAAAACGAACCTTCACTCCGATTCTATTCGCTGCTGTTTCGGCGCCCGCACCCTTTCCATCCAAGTCACCACCTTATCCTGTGTCAATCTCATTTAACAGTGTCTTATTATAATATTTAATTTTATTTTCTCTGAATTGATAATCATATAAATATAATATATATTTCTGAAATGGACTAATCTTTTCCCTTTCGAGGACTGGGACAAACAACCAAAAGGAAACCCATCTTCCAAATCTGGAAACACTTCCTCCCTCCGTACCTTCCTCTCTCTTCTGGGCTCTGCAAAATTAGTTTCTCTGTTGTAATGGAAGCCTCCGCTAATGAACGCCTTCATTTTGGGAAGATGGGTTATGGGTATTTTCACTTCTTGATTGATTCGGGTTTCATTCATTTGTTTTCTTTTTACATATTGGTATGAATTTCTGTTTACGCTTGATTTTATGGGTTTTGTCCCGTTTCTTGTAGATGCAAGCATTATAGGAGGAGATGCAGGATAAGAGCTCCTTGTTGCAACGAGGTCTTCTCTTGTCGCCATTGTCATAACGAGGCCACGGTATGGCCATAACTGGTTATTGCTTTGGTTTGGTCTATTGATCTGTTAGCTCAATAGTACTTTATTTGCCATATCTTGATCTGGGTGTTTTTTCTTTATTATGCTTGGCTATGCTTTGGATTGTTTAGAGCATGTTGAGAAACTTCAGTGATCGCCATGAGATTGTTCGACAAGATGTTAGCCAAGTATGATTCATGCGAGTCTTCCTTTCTTGTTCAATTTCTGTTATTATTTTCTTTTTTTCACTTTTCATGAAGTTCATATACATAAGAAGGCTGTTAACAATTGGATGTATGGGGTTTGCAATGATCTTGCAGGTTATATGTTCAGTTTGTGATACAGAGCAGCCGGTATATATCTATCTAGATTTTTATAATGAGTTTCTTTATGAGGTCTTGATTTGGCATGGAATGATTTTACAATCTTAATTTATTTAATTTAACATTATACTTCTCAACATATTTTTCAGGTTGCTCAAGTTTGTACAAACTGCGGTGTTAGCATGGGGGAATATTTCTGTGAGATTTGCAGATTCTATGACGATGATGTAAGGGTTCTACTTGCAGATTTAACCACTAAAATTAGGACAAAGGAATATATTTCAGTGGAATATCTATAATATTCTAATTGATTTGTAATTCTCTCTGGTTTGAGTTGTACTGTATTTAGATGTGACAATTGTTGTATCATTTTCATCATTATGTTCTGTAGGTTTAACTTTCCTTTATGCTTGCTGCAGACCAAGAAAGGGCAGTTTCATTGTGATGATTGTGGGATTTGCAGGTCAGTAGCTCAGATGAACCCATATGGCTTTGTTCCTCATGACCTTTTATGAATTTATGACATTAATACCGACTTTTGATCATGTTCAAAACAGAATTGGTGGCCGCGAGAACTTCTTTCACTGCAAGAAGTGCGGTAAGCATTCAGTGCAGTATTCCTTTTCTCATTATTAATAGGGACACTTCATTTTACTAAAATATATTTATTCCCAATTGGTTATCTTATGAATGAGTTCAATTCGTTTAGTTGTTGGGTAACATAAGTATCTTAAACAATTGTTGCAAGAAATGTGTTGGGTTTCAATGGAGTAATTGGGTCTTGGCTTTGCTTGTTTGAACAATTTGGGCCGTTTTGGATTGGTTTTTTCTATTTAGGTTGTAACTGCTTAGAGCTTATAAGCATCAACTTGAGTCATATGCTTAGCATAACTGTTAAGTATTTGATAAAAATTTGTTATGTCAGTGTGCAGCTGGCCGAGCTGGCTGGGTTTAGTATTACCCAGGCAGTAAGTTAACACAGCTGCAGACAACAAAATTGGTCCACATAACCAGCTCTTGGCTGCCGGAATTTTAGCAGTGCGAGATAGATTGTTCCAGATATTTTCTAATGATGGGGGTTTTTGTATTTCACAAAAAAAAAAGGTTGGTTACATTGGAAAGTTGCTATAATAACAAAAAAAGATAGAGGAGAAGAATTTGGAATTTTGCCATATTAAAAAGGGTAATCAAATATGGGCCTACATTCTGGAACTTTTAGCCACTTGTTACCCCGTGCTCTTATGAAAAAGACGTCAAGAAATGGAAAATTAGAATGTGCAACGGGTGGATTATGTCAACTTAAACTTATTGAGTTTGACATAAGTGGAGAATATCCTTTGATGTGCTAGGAACTAATATCTGAATTTCCTTCCACCTATATTTGTCTACTGTTTCTTTTCTATTATACTATTGAATAGTTATTTCTAGTCTAATAAATTTTTTTACGATCTTCTACATTATGAGTGTTGTTTTGGAGCAGGGTCATGCTATTCGATTGGCCTGCGCAATAATCATTTGTGTGTTGAGAACTCTATGCGTCACCACTGTCCCATATGTTTTGAGGTTTGTGTTTACAAACTCATCCAATTATGAAGTGGAAAGTTTCTCAGAGTTCTAACATTTGCAAGCTCACCCTGCAGTACCTCTTTGATTCGCTGAAAGACACTGCGGTAATGAAATGTGGGCACACGATGCATTCAGAGTGTTACCATGAAATGATAAAGCGTGACAAGTGAGTGATCCTTGTTCCTCTTGTTGCCTAATCTGTGGTATTTGAACATTTTTGTCAGATACAAATCAAAGCATCTGAATTTGATTACTTAGATTTTTGTGATGCCACACAGATATTGTTGTCCAATATGCTCCAAGTCAGTGATTGACATGTCCAAAACATGGCAGCGAATAGATGAGAGGTGAGCTTCTTTTGTATTAGCTTTTCAAATTGAGTATGGTTGCAGGGGAACTTTGTATTTCTGCATTTAAGATCTGATGATATGTTGGTCAAGCTAGCTTGTGACAGATTCATCCTAAGATAATATTTGTTGTATCTATGTTACAGATAAAAACACTGTCATGCCTGA